GCCCCACTCTCATAAGGGCACATTGGGCCTGACAGCACCTCCACTGTCACCCGCAGCCAGGACTGTGTCGCTGACACCCACCGTGTTCTGCACCACCCGCTAGAGGTTAGCACATGTTAGAGCAAGTGGTCGAACTCCCAGTCAAGGGGACAATTTGCATATTAGACTTTTATTATATAGGACTAGAGGCCTAGTGCACAAAATTTGTGCATGGGAGAGGGTGTGTCCCTCAGCCCAGACTGCACCTTCTCCAATCTGGGAGCCCTTGAGGGATGTCCAACTGCCCGTTTAGGCCCAATAGGTGGGATTGGGCCTAAACGGGCAGTCAGACATCCCTCTCACAATCCAGGACTGCTGGCTCCCAACCGCTCACCTGCCTGCCTGATTGCCCCTAACTGCTTCTGCCTGCCAGCCTGATTACTACCATATCTAACTCCTCCCCTGCTGGCCTGGTTCCCCCCAACTGCCTTCCCCTGCAGGATTGTGTCACCCACAACTGTCCTCCCCAGCAGGCTTGATTGTCCCCAACTATCCTCCTTTGCTGGTCTGGTTCCCCCCAACTGCCTTCCCCTGCAGGACTGTGTCTGCCGCAACTGTCCTCCTCTGCAGGCTTGGTCATCCCCAATTGCCCTCCCCTGCAGGCCATCTTGTGGTGCTCATCTTGTGTCCACATGGGGTGGCCATCTTGTGTTGGAGTGACAGTCAATTTGCATATTACTCTTTTTATTAGTAAGGACTAGTGGCCCAGTGCACATATTTGTGCACATTGAAAGGAAATCGGGAGTCTGTGCACATGTGCCTGGGGAGTTTGCATGTCCCCATGAGCTGCTGGGAAGTTGTGTGGGGAGTCTGTCCTCTTTCCCACAGCTTCCTGAAAAAATATTCCCAAATGTCCCATCTGTAGCCAGGGTCATGCCTTGCCAGCCTGGAGGTCCCCAGTGGACACCTTGGGCCATGATGGACACTTTCCACCACTCAGAACCAGATAAGAGATTCTATGTGGTGAATAATATGAAGTTGGGGATTTGGGAGGGTGAGGGTGCTCTGTTGCCCATACCCCTACCCTTTAGATCAATCTCTCCGACTTTTACCCCGATTGTGAGTTGCCACCTTGTGGCCCCTTTTATATTGCTGCCTTCCTCTGTAGCTCCTGAGCATCAGTAAGAGATGAGATTTGATCGTGATGCCCGAGGCAGAGTTCTAGGAGCCCAGCACATTCAGGCTCATTCTGGTTACTCCGAGTGTCCATGCTTCATGTTTCCCAGAGATTGTACCTCTAGGATTATGGGGTATGTGCCTCATGGCAAGTTCTGACTAGCTGTGGGCATTCTCAGGGGCTGGGTACCAACACCACCTAGGGACTATCAATGGAAACTGCTGTCTGTGGACACACCCACCTGCAGGATCTACCGAGATCCATGGGAACATGGGAGCCTGGATTCTGGCCAGGCCTGGGAAGGGCATAATGGGCTCAGCTGCAGACACATGTGGGAGACCCACTCATCAGATTGGAATTTTCTCTTTTCCCGGGACTCTCTCCTGAGGTGGGGACCAGTCGGCTTGGAAGTGGCAGCTGAGGGAGAGGGAAGGAAGGAAGGAAGGAAGGAAGGAAGGAAGGAAGGAAGGAAGGAAGGAAGGAAGGAAGGAAGGAAGGAAGGAAGGAAGGGAGAGGTCAATCATGGTCCTTGGTAAGGAGTGTTCTTAGTATTTCAGTTCCACATCCAAAGGACATGGCAATAGCTAAAGGGTGGGAAGTGGCCCTGATGCCTGAAGTGAGTTCCAGGGGGGCAGTGTCGGTACCAAGGTCATCCTGGTCACACTCGAACATTCCACACTGCATTTGTTTGCAGTAGATTGTACCTGCAGGGTATAGGGGGTGATTTCCATGCAACTCCCAGCCCAAGTGTGGAACAGGTCAGGCCAGCACCTGCTGCTGCCCCTCCACCCACAGGAGCTAACCAGCACTCTGCAGGGATCCAGGAGTGGGATATCAGTGCTTGGATGCCAACATTTCAGAGAGATGAGGCTGGGGCCAGGTGGGAGTTGCGAAAGGCTTGCCTATGGACAGGCATGGGTGTCAGTCATTGGGCTGGACTTCATCAAGGCTCGCTGTCGAGATGGGGGCCAGCCCATACAGTATGTGCATGAAGCACTCTGTGGATTTTTCCCAAGCAAAATCCAGAGACCCAGAGAGCAATAGGTAAGAAGTACAGTACAGCCACAGGGTCCGAAGGGAGAGTTCCAGGCCCAGAAGTGGCTGATCAGTGGTCATTCCAGCTATACCCTCACCACCTCAGCATCAGGATTGCAGTCTGTTCACTGGAAATAGAGCCTGCTGGAGGCAGGAGAGGTTCGGGTGCCAGAGCTGTGCACTCTGTGGCTGTACTCACCAGCTGTGAGCCCGGCTTCTGGCTGAGTGGTGTTCCTGCTATGGGAGCAAACTGATCACCAGAGGGCAGCTCTTGCATTGAGCATCTGCTCCCAGATGGCCAGTGCATGTCATGGTGACCAGTCATTCTGGTTGTTCTACCACACAGTCGCTAGGCTTTTATATAGATAGATGATAGATAGATATATAGATATATAGATATATAGATATATAGATATATAGATGTATAGATATATAGATATATAGATATATAGATATATAGATATATAGATATATAGATATATAGATATATATTGATTAGATATATAGATATATAGATATAGATATACATACACATACACACACTAGAGAAATGGTCATGAAATTCGTGCATGGGGGTGGCAGTGTCTATCAACCCAGCCTGCACACTCTCCAATCTCAAACCCCTCAAGGGATGTCTGACTGCCCGTGTAGGCCCGATCCCGATGGAATCAGGCCTAAACTGCAGTAGGATATCCCTCTCACAATCCAGGACTGCTGGCTCCAAATCGATCACCTGCCTGATTGCCCCTAACTGCTTCTGCCTGCCAGCCTGATACCCACTAGCCACTCTCCTGCCAGCCTGATTGATGCCTAATTGCTCCCCTGCAAGCCCGATTACCCCCAACTGCCCTCCTCTGTAGGCCTGGTCAGCACCAACTTACCTCCCCTGTTTGCCCAGGCACCCCTAACTTCCCTCCCTTGCCAGCCTGGTAGTCCTAACTGCCCTCCCCTGTCAGCCCGATTGCCCCTAACTGCTCTCCCCTGCTGGCCTGGTCACCCCCAACTGCCCTCCTCAGCCCAGTCACTCCTAATTACCTTCCCCAGCAGGCCTTATTACCCCCAACTGCCCTCCCTTGTAGGCCTGGCAAATCCCAATTGCTCTCCCTTGCTGGTCATCTTGTGGCAGCCATCTTGTGTCCACATGGGAGCGACCATCTTTGACCACATGGGGGTGGTCATCTTGTGTGTTGGAATGATGATCAATTTGCATATTACCTCTTTATTATATAGGATATAGATCGCAAATATTAGTATTTGTATTTTTAATTTCCTATTATTTGCAATTCTCCCTCTCTCCCCCCCTCTCTCTCTCTCTCTCTCTCTCTCTCTCTCTCTCTCTTCTACTGTGTTAATAAAGTGTTTGATCCTCCTGTTTTACCCTTCCACTTGTTTGGAAGCTATAGATTATATTCTTTTAATGATTACCAATATACATTTTAAAGCAAAGCCTAAAGTTGCTCAGAGTTTTAATCTCCTCCCAGTGAATACTTCTTATTATTATTTAGAGCCTCAATGTTACTTTTTATAACACTAAAAACTTTTCTAATATCAGTAATTAATATACTACTATCTTTTATTTCTGTCAATATCTATGCTCACTATTATCTTGCATTCCATAATCCTCTGGGTCCATTTTTTGAAAGTTTACCCTACTTTCTTTCCAATTATAAAATGTCTATTTATGTCTTTTAATAGTTTTTCTGTTAATAAAATTCTAGATTAAGAGTTATTTCTCTCAGGTCGCAAAAACAATACTCTTTTTTTCCCACCCACTGTAATAATAACAAGTCTGCTGTCAGTCTAGTGTTCCTTTGCATTGAATTTTCCTTTCATCTTTGATAGCCTTTAATGTTTGTCTCTTTATTCTTGATATTTTTCAGTTTCAGTACATTGTATTCTAATTTTTATTCATCCTACTTGTAAATAGTGTAGCTTTATTCTGAGGAGTCATGGTACCTCACAATACTCATCTTCTCTTTCTTCAAATACTATTCCTCCATTCCCCTTGTTGTCACTCCTACAAGGCATATATTGGGGCACTTGTGCCACTCCCTATCAAAATCCCTACTACTGGTCACAAAGTTGTACTATATTTCTCCACTATTCAAAATGAAAATTAAGATAAATATAAATAGTGAAGTGCTTGACTATTATTTAATTAAATCAAATCCTAAGTAAAAAATGTACTGAATCACATTATTTAAAGTAGGAGCATTTAGATAATAAGATTACTGCAAAATCCCATTAATTATACTCTAAGGCTAAAATATAATCACACATATAATTTAATAAACTAAAAATCATAAAAATTATTGAAATCTGAAATTTACATGACAATAACATTTCTATCCAAGACTATGATTTCAAACTAGTTATGTGAATTCTCTACCTTTTCAATCCTGAAATCATTAAAAATCTTGATATATGCTTTCAGTAGAGCAGTATGTTTCTATTGTGTATCACACTCTATTTTACAATCCTACAATAAAATGACACCTTCTAGTAGCCCTTATTTGCTTAAATTTTCAACAATTATTTCATAACATTTTTCTACATATCAATTATCACTATCTGATATACTGTTTGTCTTTTTCCTCTAAAATGTTAAATCCATGAAATTGGAGGTTTAGTCTTTTTTTTGTTGTTGTTGTTACTGTATTACTGGAAAATTTCCTTTTATATAGTAAACATTTGATGAGTGTAAGCTCATATATTTTCATGTGTTCCAGATTATAATTTAAGTTAAAATTGAGCAAGACAGACATTTCAATAAAAATATGTCAAATATCCTGGCAACAAGCAGCCTCACCTGTGAGATCCCCCGGCTGGGCTCCACGCAGGCCAGGAGGAGAATTGATACCTGCAAGAGGGAAACTGGACTTCAGTGAGGACAATACTGATGGGAATTGTGGTACTAAAGGTCTTGGTATTTATTGTTTATGCTGAAAGGAAGTAGGCTGAGTCAATGATTTGACTCATGCACATAAGACAATGGGGGGAATAAGAGGGCAGGGCGGGGTGAGGATAAACTCCTGACTACACTGTGGGGCAGGGCAGAGTTATCCTCCATTTTGTGTAACTGGACCCTAGCCCTCACCCAACCAATCAGGGTCAGCCAAAGCAGTGACATTAGCACCGGAGTAAAACCCCAGGGCTTGTCGAAATTCACTCTCTCTTCTGCCATGTTGTTGGCGTGAGTGGGACAGAGCCCATGCTAGCATGGAAGAGGCTCTTTTGTTTATTGCATCGGACTCGGCTCCCTGGTGGTCCTTGGAAATCACAAAGTCTGGGTGTAACATTTCTGAGTTTGGCTTTTTTAGATTACACATATAAGTGATATTACATAGCATTTTTTTCCCTCTGACTTATTTCGCTTAGCATAATGCCCTCAAGGTCTATATTGTCACAAATGGCAGAATCTCCTTTCCTGTGATGGAATAATATTCAATCATGCATATATGCCATATCTTTATTATCCATTCATCTCTTGACAGACCCTTAGTTTGTTTCTATATAGTGGCTGTTATGAATAATGCTTCAGTGAACAATGGTGTAGATATCTCTTCAAAAACAAAAAAAAAAAGTCAAATAGGAGCATTGTAGGTAAGTTTGGGGCCCAGATGGATGATAGAAGTTGAGGAGTGGAGTGAGTGACTGAAGATGGTCACAAATTAGGCAATACTACCAAACAGAGGACCCAAACCATGTACTTGTTCTCATCACAGCTTTGATTAATTGTGGAAAGATAAAGAAGGCTATCCAAAAGGTTGAGAGTTTATTAATACAATCAGGATTAAGTCTGGATGCTTTAGCTACAAGCATATGAATAATCTGGTAGATGGCTATTCTAGTCTCTACGATGAGCCACTCTATAATATTGTTCTACTCCATGTTCCATTCATTGTGAACTAATCACACTTCTCTGAATGAGGTCTTCTTATTGCTTACAAGCTTTGGCCCGCTCCTTTTCTTCTACATGAACTATTGCTCCCCGCCACCCTGCCCTGCCTCTCTGAAGTCTCCTGCCTTTCTCCTACTTTTTCTTCAGGTCTTTGCTTAAACCCGCGCATTCAACAGAAGTGTTATCTGCTTCCCACAATCAGATAGGATACCTTTCTGGTGTGTCCCCTTACCACCTACTTATCCCTATCTAGTATTTATCATACAGTTTTGAAATTGCCACTTTTCATGGTCATTTCCCCAACTAAGCAATATGATCCTCAAAGACAAAGTCTGGGGGGGGGAAAAAAAAGATAGAGTCTGGGTTATGTTCACAGATGTATTCCAGCACTTAGCATAACAACTAAAACACAGAGGGTACTCAGTAAATGGTTATTGAATAAATGATGAGTAGATGAGTGCCAGATGGATGAATGTGAATAAATCCAACAAGGCAACTGAGTCATAGGCAGCCCAAGGAGGCATGATTATTCAGTTAGTTAAGTCTCAGACCCTCAAGAAAGGGTATGTGTTTGACTCAGGAGTCAGGGGAAACCAGGAGGCCTTGGTATCATGGCTTAATTCTGTTAAGTAATGTTTAGACAAAGGCAGGTTAAACCTATGGCAGGGTAAAATGGTCAAGTAAATGGTCTGTCTATGGAAAATCCAGCCTTCCCTTTCTGATGCTTTCCCCAAACCCAGTTGTTGAAGTCCCTGGTTTAATTTGACTACAGACAACAAATTCCCTCCTACTCTTTCTCCTTTTTACAACACGAGCTCTCTAGACATCTTATCTGTGAAATCTTGTTACTGACTGGTGAGGAAGGAGTCATGGATTTTAACTGCAGGATGTTCTCAGAAATTATGGCATTATTGCCCACAAGAAGTTACTCTGCTACTAGTCAGATGGTTGTGGGTTTCATCAATCACTAACTGGAAAACCAGAGAGCCTCCCAGGAAGACACAAGATCAGCCTGAGAAAGTACTGAGTTGTTAAAGTAGTAGTACCTGCTCTAATTTCAGTGGGTTGGATCCGCTGTTTTAATGATGCTCAAACCATATATGTATGTATGTATGTATGTATATATATTTTTTCCCCCACAAACTGGAACCTATTTTATCTCTCTTTTAAGCCAGCTGTTCTCTGGGCTTTGTTCCCTACAGTGGAAGGGAGACCTTGAAATTATATATTTTTAAATCCTACATCCTCAGAAATCTGTATTGATACTTTAATAAAGGGATTCATATATCCTCAAAAAACTCATCTGTGAGAAAAATATGTTTGGGTATTTTAATGCACTAGTAATATATATATATATAAAGCTGCACAACAGAGCAAGAGTCCTGGTAGCCTGTTATTTACAGTAATTGTAGATTGTAAGTAGACATAAGTAGACATTTTAAGGAGAAGCTTACAAGTTAGTTGTATTTTCTGGTAGTGATTACCTCCCACAAACATGAGTCAGTTCAGCAGATTAAATGCAAGAGTTAGGTGTCCCTAAATCAGCATTCTTATATGATAAATAAATCTCTGATGAATCCATAAATGTCTAAATAATTCTTCCCAATCTCAAAGACATCTTTAAATGTGAGATTTTTATGCATTAAAATATCTTCCGGATAAAGTAAGAACAAAAGAAAAGCAAAAACAGTGATCTTGGAAGTCTCTGTACACTGGGGGAAATCACCAGCCCCTTGTGGAAAAAACTTCAGCAACCAGAGTGTTAAGTGTGCTCTCTTCAATCCAGGAGGGAAGGCTGCTATTTGTTCTAATGCAGCCCATTAATTTTGTTTTTAAAATAACACTCACAGGGAAGACTTTTATGGTAACAGAACAGTGTTAATGCTTTTGGGTGGGACTGCCTACGAGTCCTGTAACAGAACGTATAACTGAAAAAATGTGGTAGTATCAGCTAGGAATGCTGAAAAAAGAACAATCCACGCCAGAAAGAGATACTCATTTTTTTGGAATGCTCACTCAAAGGCATTGTGTATCTCGATGAGCACTGGGACATTTATGTTTCAATGAGTGGAACATTTTTTTTTTTTTTACATTATGAAAGTACTCATTTTTTGACATTATGAGAGTACCCATTCTGTTAAAGTATTAACAGAAATGTAGGTTCTGACTATCCACTTGCTAGATTCATTATTTTTTGAAGTCCTAAAGTTTTGTGTCTGGTTAAAAATGGAAGCATATAAGAAGTCTCTGTTCTATTCTCATTATATCCATGTATTTTAACATATTACATTAATCACCTACCTGAGTTTAAGAGTAAAATTTATAATCATAATTCCATCATCTGTATTTAAAATATGAAATAACATGTCTATACACATACAGTTCTTTATTCCTGTTCAAAATAGCCATTGGTAGCCAACTTATCACTGAATCCTATAGAAGGCTCACTGTCAAAAAAATTTTCTAAATATAATGTCATAAATATAATGTCTAGTTATTTTCATATCTTCAACTGCTGCCATTGCATTCTCATTTCTTGAAAGGAACCAGAGGAATATAGGTTTCTTCTGTGGCTAAAGGAAACAATATCTGCCAAAAATGCTGAAGTTCTGGTGAAGGTCACTAACTACTATAAGATGGGTTAAGTGCAATATAAGAATGTTGGAGTACTCAAATAAATAGCCAATGGCAATGGCATTTTGTGGAGAAATGTGGTATAATATCACGTCTAGACATTGAGAAGTATAGTGAAATACCTTCAAAAAGCTCAGTGTCCCAAAATATCATAACAAAGAGTTGATATGGGTTACATATATTAGACCTACTGTATACAGCTCATAGTCATAGGCTAGAAATTTTCTATCTGGCTCATTAAAAATCTTTGACCAAGAGGGAAAACCAGGTCTATACAGTCTATTCTCTTGAATGCTAATTGATCACTTATAACCAAGTTTCAGACTCATAGCTTGTCAAAATATGGGGAAAATTCCCCCTACATGTCCACTGAAGATGCTTACAATGCCCAGAATATTAACTCTAGTCCAGGAAAAGTTTACGTTCAGGGGCAGAGATGAGACACAGGGATAGTTTGGAGGAGGTCTGTGAGATGCCATGCACATTTTTTTTAAACTAAGAAAAACTCATACCAAAGGAAGGAGCTATGAGGAACCTTAATGAGCATGTGGGAAGGAGAAAAGTTGCCTGAAGCAGATGAGAAATGACTGGGTGAGGCCACAGGATGCTAATTGACCCTCTAATCTCCAGGCTTTTTTTTTTTTCTTTTCTTTTCTTTTTTTGCCAGGGAATGAGCAAGATTCCTTTGGTAGTAAATTCTTTTGACTTTAAAATAGAACCAATTTGCCTGCCGGGTTTTTTGTTTGTTTGTTTGTTTGTGTTTTGTTGTTGTTGTTGTTGTTTTACTAATGCAGGCTACCACATGGACTTGAGGTTAATCAGATGGCATTTCTTCTTTACTTTTAGAATTCTCTCCCTCCATGCTTTATAATCAAGTTTTGTTGTAGTTGTTATTATTACTTTGATACTAGTGGAAACAAATCAAAAAGAAAAACATGCCTTTAGAAATAAATGGGATAGCTCTCTTTTGCAAATATTACTGCTATGTCCCAGAACAGAAAACAGAGTAACTTATTTCAAAGTTATATCCTCTCAGGATTTCTTCTAGTTCCAGTTTCACCAACTGTCCTGTGCTGCCTTTGCCTGACTCTGTCCAGGATTTCTGATACCCAGGCCTGACCTCTATTGGACCTTCTGAGTCCCGCTGAGTCACATTCAAGCCTGAAGTGTGTGGAATGGACTCCTAGTAGGATGAAACTTTAACCCACGAGATAGGAGGTCAATCCACTTTCCTCCCCTGGACAGACTGGCTTGAAATGGTGTTTATACACCTTATAGGACAGTGCTGTGGGATCAAACAAGCAGTTACACAGAGCATCACAGAA